TTTTTCCAAGTTATCATTTTTTGCTGTTGTTGTGATGGTAAATAGGTTTGTTTTCTTAGTTTCACCTTCTGAGAGTTCATTATTGTTGTATAAAAAAATCATCAATTTCTACATGTTAATTTTGTATCCTGCTACATTGTAGAATTCATTTATTAAATTTAGTAGTTTTTTGGTGGACTCTTAAGGGTTTTCTATGTACACTATATCATCTACAAATAATGACAGTTTTACATCCTCTTTTCCAATTTGGATGCCTTTTATTTTTTCTTCTTGACTGACCACTGTGGCTAAGACTTCCAGTACTATCCGATATTATAAAAGCCTAATATGCTAAGTGTCCGGTCGTCTGGTTGTCCAGTTGTCTGGTTGTCTGGTCGACTGTCTGGTCCATTCAACCAATCAAAACATAATATGCTAATGATATGCTAAGGCCGCTCAACCATTCGCTATGATGTGCATGGACCACCAGAGTCAGACAGTCAACTGGTAGGTTAGCTTGCTGCTGGGGTCAGGCTGATCAGGACTGAGCAAGAAGGGTCAAACATGCCCTGGAGCTCTCCCACAGCCCCTCCCCAGCTGGCCAACCTCCCGCATCCCTCCCTGTCGGCCCTGATCGCCCCAATTGGGTCTGGGTGAGATGGAGCCGGACACGCCCTGGAGCCTTCTCATGGTTCCTTCCCAGCCCGATTGTGCACCAATGGGGTCCCTCGGCCTTGCCTGCACACTCTCGCAATCCAGGACCCCTCAAGGGATGTTGGAGAGCCAGTTTCAACCCAATCCCCACAGGCCAGGCCGAGGGGCCCCACTGGTGCACGAATTTGTGCACCAGGCCTCTAGTGTTGAATAAGAGTGGTGAAAGTAGACATCCCTATGTTGTTCCTAGTCTTATGAGGAATGCTTTTAATTTTTGCCCAGTGAGTATGATGTTGGCTGTGGGTTTGTCATGTATGGGCTTTATTATGTTGAGGTATGATCCCTCTATTTACCCTTTACTAAGAGTTGATCAACACACACCCAGGGTGGCATTTGTGTTTGCCATGGATCAGATGTGTGCCAGGCAGGAGATACAGTCCTTTTAGATCCAGCCCAATAACTCTGTATGGGAGAGCAGAGGAGTCCCCTCAGCAAGAAGCTAAAGGTGGCAGTTAGGTTTGTAGGGATTGAGGGAGAAATCACAGTGAATGTGCCTAAGGCAGGAGAATTGCTGGAGAGAGGTCCTCTGTGATGGTCATCTCCTAAGAGTGTGAAAATTTTAGAGCAAAATTAATAGAAACTGTTCGATTAGACCTCTATTCCTTGCCAGTCAGTACGCTTTCAGGATCTCCCTCCTTCACAGAATCAATAAGTTACTTATAAATTCATTTTGCTTTACTGTAGAAAGTTTTTAATTGACAGACATTTTTTCCCCTGCATTTTGTTCCATCCAAATGCCAAGACCTATTTGATTTTTAAGACTCGGAGATGATGACTCCTATCTCTGGGTCCTTACCAAATGCAGAATCACATGACCCAGTGGTTAAAGATGGAAAACTTCTATTTAAATTACTCAGTTTTATATTTCTCTATGTCATCCTCAATTTAAAAAAGGTTCCTGTAGCCTTAGCCCCACAACGATAACTTCATTTTAGAGCAGATCAAGCTCCAGCTCCATTCCACAAGGACATCTGAGTGCAGTTTTAAGGCTTTATCACTGTGCGTTAGAATTAGTCCTGTGGCTCCATCGAACTTCAGGACAGGTTGAAAAATATAGGCGACCACATAGAATGGTTAGCAGGTATTATTCTCTCTGCCACCTAAGAGCAAAATAAAGTTCGCCATTCTACAAATATTTATTGAACACATACTATGAGCACTGGTACGGGGCATTAGGGAAATGTGTTAAATAAACATTTCTAGATGTCAGTGCTTTGACAGTGTTGTAGTTTAGGAATCATCTCTAATGGAATAAGGAGACTGCAGTAACCAGCATGCATTGCCCTGTCTAGGAACCCCTCTGTGGCATTACCTGAAGAAGGGGCACTGCACAATATCCTGAAGGTAGGAGTGATCAGCTCAAAAAAAAGGGGGGGGGGTGAGTAAGTGTGACATTGTCTATAGACAAGGAGAAGTTTGAGGACATCAGAAACATATCTGTAGATTCTAAAATTTTGAATACGGGGAGTACACAGCTGAAAACGGATTACCACATTTTCATTATACAGGAAAGCATCCTTGCGTTCTGAGAGAGCTGCACCTGGGTCCCCTTTAAAATTTGAAGAGTCTCCTACAAGGTAATACTGCTTAGGAAAACCAACCTTCTTTTAATAAAAAACAAAATAAAAAAAACCCCACAGTGATCTAATAGGCTATTTAAGTTAGTTGCCTACCCAGAAAAATGATTCAGCTATCTGCTCATCATTTACTTTTCCACCCCTGCGAGAGGGAGAGAGGTTCTTGGGATACCACTGGAATAAGCATTTCCAGAGGCGCCCACAGGATGATGAGACATGGTATGAAGCTTTATTTTCATGAAATTACATTCCTGGGTCTCCAAAGTCCCATATCCCTTTGTCCAGTCATAGAAGTGCAGCTGGGGTTTCAGTAGAGCCAGAAACAAAGCCAGTGTCCAGAGTTTCCTTTGCATGTTGGAGCCAGGTCCAGTTAGTCCACTGTGTGTGGGGTCCACATGGCCATGGGCCATGTGAGCAAACACAGGAGAGAGCACCCCAATCAATAAGAGTCCCAAGAGCATAAGAGGAACCAAGAGAGTGAACTCCTTTGTTTGCAGGGATGGGGAATGTCTGGCTTGCAGGCCATATAAGGCCCTTGAAATCATTTGGTCTGGCCCTGCCATGGCGTTAGGGGTGAGTTAATTAAATGTTTGACCAAACATAGCAGGCTAATTTTTAAGTTGATAATTTTGCATAACCCTCGAATGATATTATAAATATCCAAATGGCCCTTGGCAGAAAAAAGTTTCCCCACCCATGGGGTTTAGAGTATTAGATATCCCCAAATCCATGCCCTTGCGGTGGCCACACCCATTCTGGCCAATAACCTGTTCCCAGGTATGGCTGACAGACAAGTGCCTTCCTGACGCCACCCCAACTTCAGTGGCCATGCCTCTGTTCTCCTCCCTGTCCAGTCCCTTGCCCCAGGGATCTGTGGGGAACAGAGCAGTGGCTCCTGGGGGAGTGTAAAGCTTTAGCTTCCTGATGAAGCTGCCCAAATAACATGCCTATAATATCTGACCTTTTCTTTGCTCCTTTCCTGTTATTAATAACTAGATTAATTACAATGGTATTAATTAGAGTAGGCTCTAATAAAGTATCGCTGGAGTTCTTATAATTGAACAGATGGGAAAAATAATTGAACAGATGGGAAGACAGACATATAAAGACAGAGAATTAAAGTGCTGCGGCTACAAGCCAAGGAACACCAAAGATTTCTGGCAAACTATCTGAAGCTAGTCGGAGACAAGGAAAAATACTTCCTCTACAAGTTTTATGGGGAATGTGGCCCTGATGATACCTTGATTTCAGACTTCTAGCCATAACTATGAATCAGTAAATTTATGTTTTTCCAAGCCGCTCAGTTTGTGGTACTTTGTTATGGCAGCTACACAAA